TTAGGACTGCCAACTGGGAAGCTCCGACCCAACCCCGAGCTGATTGCTTTAGATGTGGATGATTTCCCACTTAATTTTTCAAGTGCTATTGAAAATGTCTTCATCTGTGAATGTCAAATATTTATTTTTCTAAAACACTAAATAATGGCCATCTAGGCATCTCAACATGTAAACAACATGTTAGATAGGCTTTCAAGCACCCTGGTGTATGTGAGCTTCTCTGAAGCAATCAGAGCTGCACCCCACTGCAGCTCCGTGGCACTCCAGGGAATTCCCCAGGGATGGAGCCCTGTAGGGCTGGCACTGCCACATCCTGCCTGGGAGAGCTCCTCTTAAACTGCTGAGAGCTTGCTCTTCCCTCCCAGGATCCCAGCAATGATTCCATTTGAACAGTCTGCCCCCTGAAAAGCACAACCCATCATGGATTTGATTAATCAGCTCTGCACTTGTGGTGCGTATTTGCATTTTCTGAGGATTCAGTTGGGATGTACAAACATCAAATCACAGAACTGTAGAATGGTTTGGGTTGGGAGGGACCTTAAAGCTGATTCTGCTCCACCTCCCTGCCATGGACCCCCTGCCACCTTCCCCTGTCCCAGGCTGCTCCACGCCCCATCCAGCCTGGCCTGGGACACTGACAGGGATCCAGGGGCAGCCCCAGCTGCTCTGGGCACCTGTGCCAGGGCCCCATGCCCTCACAGCCAGGAATCCCTTCCCAATATCCATCCATCCCTGCCCCCTGGCAGTGGGAAGCCATTCCCTGTGTCCTGTCCCTCCAGACCCTTGTAAAGGGTCTCTCTCCATCTTTCTTGCCGGCTCCCTCAGGTCCTGGAAGGCCACAATGAGATCCCCCTGAAGGTTCTCTTCTCCAGGCTGAACAATCCCAATTCTGCCAGGCTTCCCCCACAGCAGAGCTGCTCCATGCCCCTGATCAGCCTGGTGGTCTCCTCTGGACTCAGTCCAACAGGTCCATGTCCCTGCTGTGCTGGGAACCCCAGAGCTGGGAGCAGCACCCCAGGAACTTTTCATATACAGCACACAAAAACCAATCTCCTCTCTAAAACATACAAGAGATGGTGACAGCAACTCAGGAGCCAGCAAATGAAGGGATTTCATTCAGACTTGGTCCTTTGCTTCCTGGGCTCCGAGTAAGAATCACCACATCTGATCTGCTGTGAGTGAAGAATGAGAAAGGCACTTGTGGAGAGGAGCACTCCTGAGGAATTACAGAGGAAGGATGCAGACACAGAGGGAGCCTGTGTGAGGGGCAGCCTTTAACTCTGGGATGATCTCAGTGGTCCTGCACTGACATCCCCAAAGTGCAAAACCCAGCACACATGGGAACTGCCTTCCCCAGGGAGACCAGGCTGAAAGCACATGGATGGGGCACAACCTGGGCAGGGCACAGCTGACACCCACAACCTGGAAAAGGCACCTTTAGGGCTGTATGATTACTTATCCAGCTGTGATCCTGAAATGATCACAGTGATGCTCTGGAATCCATTGCACTGTCCCAAAAAAGGCAAGAAGTCTCAAGCTCCTCTCAGAGCACACACATGTCTAGAAATACACAGGAATTTTAAATTTATGTCAAATTCCAGCCCTACTTCATGCATCCTGCTTTTCTAGACTCCCAGAATGGCTGAGGTAGGAAGGCAACTCTGGAGTTTCTCTTGTGCAATCCCCCTGCTCAAGCTTTTCTTACAAGTTCTTGCCAAAATAGTTCAGCCTGACTTTCAGAATGGTTTTTACAAAAATGTGTAAGTGCCCCAAGTTGTTCTTCCCCTTACACCTGTGGAAAAGCTTCTTCCACAGGAATGAAATATGTGCACAGAAATCTTTCAGAAGAGCAGATGTGATTCCCAAAGTCTCCTGCAAACACGATTTCTGTTGGTGTCACCTCACAGCATTACAAGAGATCAAAGAGGAGCCAGTGCAGTATGGAAAAACTTGGGAAGGTGAAGACTCAGTGTCCTTTTGAATTCTGACAACCTTTTCTGGTTTTTTAACTGCTTAATGCTGCGGAGGCTCTGACAGTGTCACATCCTTGTGCTGGGGAACCACCACCCTGGAAGGGGTGCAAGGCTGGGCATGGAAAATCACCTTTCAATTATGAAACGCACGCACGGCCCCAGCATACGTGGAATGTTTACATCCTTAGAAAAACGATCCAACTGTCCCATTCAATCTCCAGGGCAGACTGACAGGGGAATTTTTTCTTTAATAAAGAACTTTGATGGAACAGGAATGTCAGCTTTGGTGCACACTGCACTGACTGGAACAGGATCAAAACTAAGTTCCACACGATGTTTTCAGAGGAAAAGAGGAGAATGTTTCATGGAATTTAAGTCGGGATTTGGCTTGCATCCTAGAACATATATCTTGTTATGAAAACTGCTGAAACACTTTTAAGTGGGCAAGCCGTAAGTGTCCTTGGAGCTATCCAGTCAACTGGAAGTCACACAGGCAGAACCTCCTAAAGTAGAAAAGCCTGAAATTGGGAGGGGGGGTGAGGGAGGGGCAAGTAATCTTGGAATCCTATCTGTTATCCAGAACGGCTCCCTTGTGCCTACAGCATGAAGTAGTTACAACTTGTTTTCTGCTATTGTCACAGATCCAGGACGTTACTCTGGCTAAATCATAATCTCTTCCTGCCTCAGTTCATCCATGTGCAAACCTGGCTCGCTAACTCTTACCTTAATGTGTCATGGGGCTTAATTAATAACACTTAGGTCTTTTAAGTCCTCTACAAACATTAACTACTTCTTGTAACAACTCTCCAAGGTATTATTATCCCCATTTTACTCGTGGAGAAACGGCAAAAGAGGTTGTCACTTGCCCAAGGCAACAGAGTAATAGTTACACTTAGAGATCCTCTTCACGGGCTACTCTAACAGTGGAAACACATCAACAAAGGCAAAGACAATAACGACAAACTCGAAGTTACTTTTAAAAGTGCACCATAAGCATCTGGAAGACGATGGAAAATCCCTCCCAGAAACAATAGGCTTGGGACCAGAAGCAGCATCACAACTGTCACCACAGAGAACGAAGTTCCTTGGACGGACCCAGGCTTGAGCTCACCCAAACAGCCTGACACAAACAGCCAGACCTGTCCTCTCGAGCGCTCTTAAGTACCATAAAATTGAGCAACAGGCTCGTACAGTGCTCTCCAGTAACACCGAGCGAGCAGATAATCAATGTGGTATGCAGCACGCTAATTCCTTCCGCCGCGTTCCCAGCAGGGACCGGGAATGCCAATAACGGCCCCGGACGGCGGGGGTCCCGCACGGTGCCGGCGCGGCCGCCGCCCCCGCCGCAGACGGCGACAAAGTTGGTGTCCCCCGCGCCCCGCCGCGCTGACATCCCCGGAGCCGCCGCCGGGAGCCCTGCCCGGGCAGCGCGGAGCGGCCGCCCCCGCCGAGCCCGTCCCGCTGCCCCCGGGGCCGCTGACAGGCGCGTCCGGCGCTGCCGCCCCGGCGGCGACAACACCGCCAGCAACAGGCGCGTCCTGCGCGGGACCCGCGCGGGCACGGCCCGCGATGCGCCCGCAGCGCTGCGGCTCCGGCCCGGCCCCGGGGCGCGGGACGGGCCGGGCGGGCGGGACCCGCCGCAGGCCTCGGCCTGGAGGGGCGGGCGGGGGGTGTCAGGCGGGGTGACACCGCTCCGCCGCTCCCCGCGGCAGGGCCGGCCCGCCAGGGCTGCGGCCGGGGCTCGCCCGGGGCTCCGCGGCGGCCGCGGGGGGCGAGCGGGGGGGACGCGGCGTGTCGGCGGGCGGCGGGCCCGCCGCGGGCAGGCCCCGAGGGGACATCCCGCCGGTCACTCGGAGCGGCCACCCCGCGCCCCCACCTGATCCCGGGCTGGGACCCGCGCGGGTCCGCCGCGTCACTCACCTGCGGGAGCGGGGGCCGGGGAGCGGCGCCGCGGGGCCGCGCTGCGGGCGGCCGGGCGGCCGGGCGGGCGGAGGGGGCGGGCGGCGGCGGCGGGTCCGCGCTCCGGGCGCTCGGCGCTCAGCGCTCAGTCGCCATTTCCCGCCTACCGACCCGCTGCACCGCACCGAGGGACCCGGATGGCAGCGGGGCCGCCGCGCAGGCGCGCCCGGCCGGGGGAGGGGGCCGGGCCGGGGCAGGCCGGGAAGGAGGGAACGGGGCCTGGCGCGGCGGCGGCGGCGCCGGAGCCGGCGGGAGCGGGGCCGGCAGCGGCACGGAGAGCAGCGCCCGCGGTGCCTCGGCGGAGGAAGCACGGCTGCCCCGGTGTCCTCCGCCGGGCCGCGCCGGGAGGTGAGCGGAGAAAGGGGAGCTCTGAGGGGACCGCGGGGCGCGAGCGGGGCGGGGGGCGAGCGGCGGGGAGTCCCGGCCCTGCCCGCGGCCCCCGGCCCTGCCCGCGACCCTCGGCCCTTCCGGCGCTCCCCGGGAGCAGCAGCGGCAGCGCCGGGCAGCACTGGCCGCGGGCGGACGGACGGACGGACGGACGGACGGACGGGCAGCGCAGCCCCGCGCCGGCCCCGGCTCCGGCTCCGGCCGCTCTCGCCCCGAGCTCCCCTGGGCACCGCCGGGCGCTCCCCGCTCCCGGCCCGGCCCTGCTGGCTCGCCCTCCGTCCCATTCCCCAAGCGTAGGGCAGCGCTGGCTTGCGGTTTCGGTTGCTGTTTTAAGTCGCCTGTGGAGTGTGTTGTGAAGTTTTATTTCCGCTTTCTCTTTTTTTTTCTAGGCAGCCTCTTTGTGTGGGAAATGCTGAGGATGCTGCGTGCTTTACTATTTGAAGGGCTTAATGAAGCAGCTTGGCCATCTCTTGCAGTACAGCAGCATGTAGTGAGGTTATATTTCTCATCTCAATGCTACTGAAGTTGGAAATCTTAAGTTTTCTCTTGATGATCACTTTTACTTACCAGTCTTTGTAACAGAAATCAGTTCTCAGGTTCCCCTGTGTTATGACAGGATAACATCTCAAGGTACTGCCCAGAGTGGAAGGTTTTTACAGGAGTATCTGGCATCCTCGAATTCAGCAGTGAAGAAACTTACAGGGGTGTTGTGTTTCCTGGTACCTGTGGACTCCCTGCTTAGCTTTTGAACGTGGATCAGATTATAGAAGTCCCAGCTCTCTAGTCACCTAAAATATTCATTGGCTTGTTAAAGAGAAGTACATCTGCTGCTGTGAAGCCAAGATTTGGTTTAGAATTCTGTCACAGGACTCTACTGGTCTGTCTTTAACAGAAGATGTTATAAAGCTAATTTTACCATAAAAAAGAGGTTGTAGGAAGGCAGTGGAAACTCATTCAGAACAGGGAACATATTCCTTTAGAGCATTCAAGTATTTCTTGTGAATATTTTGTGAATGATCAGCTGTGAAAAAGGTTCGTTTGGGCATGTTAGAGCCTCATTAAGATGGTTTGGCAGTCCCTGAGGAGGAACCTGTATGGCAGGATAACTGTGTGATGTCTCACACTGTTACCCCAAAAGGACAGTCACTGATACTTAGAAAGTGGGAGTTTTGGGAAATGGTGGGTGGAAATACTCTCTCAAGCCATGTAATTAAAATGAAACAAGCGGCCAGAGGAGCTGATCCAGCAAGATTCAAAGCAGGCAGGTATTTGTGTGAGCACCAGCATGGCCAAAAACACTCTGACAAGAGATCAAACGTGTGACTCAGGGTTCAAACTGATCTTTATGGCAAAGAGAACTGCCCTTTTCTGTGTAACAGGATATCAAAATTTGCTTTTCACAGTGCCTTGTGCTCTCCTCGAGTTCCCTGGTGCTGAATTAGGGAGAAGGGGCTGGACTGGCAGGAAAGGGGATGTGGAAAATCATCTTGCTGATGGTGTTGCTGTGCAGGGAGGAGTTCAGAGGTCCCCCTGCTGTACCCTGCTCCCCACGGAGCACAGCCTCAGCCCCATGTGGGCAGTGTCAAAACCCTGTGCTGGCACACACAGCTCAGAACGTGGGTTTGGGCCAAAGAAGAGGCTGAGCTGGCAGCAGTGGGCCTCCCCTGGCTGGAGGGTCTGGGCTCCTGAGACCTTTGAGGAGCATGTTTGCTTCACTTCACAGAGACTGAAGGGGAAATGTGCACTGCCCATTCCTGCACTGGGATCCCGACTGCTCCTGGAAGACATTAGGATTTAGGATCAGGGTTTAGGATTTCCTGCCAGCCTCTGTCCCCTTAGCTCTGTGGTTATACACCATGTAAACTGACGTGCTCCAGAGTGAGCTCCCTGATGCTGCAGAGCTCATGTGGGGAGGGTTTTTGTAGCATCTGCAGCTCAGGACTGGGTGGGGTTTATTCCAGTTCCACTTTCAGTTTAACTTCAGCATCTGGCACTTCTCAGCAAATTCAGGAGTCTTCTTTGGGTTTCTATGTTACTACTGCCCATTTCCAGTGTTTGCTGTCCCTGTTGCCTTTCTGAAGGGGATCAGTTCCCTTGGATAGCTGACCAGAGTTGAGAGAAGCAGCTCCCAGGCTGTGCTGCTGCTCCATCCCCGGTGTCTGGGAGCCAATCTGGCTGTCCAGGAGGAGCTCCAGACTCGCTCTTCTCACTGCAGACACTCCAGCTGACAGCACCAGGGATTCATCTGCTCCCAAAGCCTGCAGAAACACGGGATGAGCCTTGTGTTTGATCTGGCACAGTGCAGCACTGGAGAGTGGCATGAGACATTCCTCCAGGGATGGAAATGCACAGCCACCAGTAGTCAAACCTGGTTTTGGGAAGTTGAACTGTAGATTATCCATCCCAGTAATTCCAGTGTGGCTACACAGGGTTTCATATAGGTTGAGGAATTGGAGTATTATGGTTTCTATATTGGCACAAAAATGTTCAGGCATAAATATCATTACTCTGTTTCTGGCAGGCTTGGAAATTCCACTGCACTCTCATAAATAGGGAGAGATGGCCCCAGTTGGTTTTGTGGGTTTGTTTTCCTGTTTTATTTTAACTGCAGAAATCTGGTGTCAGTGCTGGAGCCAGCTGGAACAGCAGGACACTGCTCCTCCTTATAAAGTGCCTAATGTCACATTTTCTAGTTCATTGCAGCAAGATTTGATCCTATCCTTTTGGTCAGCCTCCTCAAGGAAGGGTCCCAGGTTACTTCAGCTGGAAGTTCCCTGTGTGGGTGCCAGGTTACTGAAAGCTCCGTGTATCTCCTGGAGCAGGGAGTGCAGCTGGCAGATTTATGGCATGTGGAAATTCTCCTTAATAGGGATAAAGGAGAAAGTTTTCAGACAGAGAATTTCTTCAGAGATGTGTGTGTACAAGGAAATGGGTCCTGTTGAGAGCTCAGGACCTCCAAACCACCACATGAATGAGCATCATTCAGTCCATTGTGCAAACTGTAAACAGGCAGAAAATAGATTTATAGAGAAGAAAACCTTTTGTACTTTCTGCATGTACTACTGCAGAACACTCACTCACCAGCTCTTCTGTCCTGCAGGCTTTGGATTTCCCACTGTTGCTGGGTTTGCATATATGGAAATGTGAAATGGTAACATTTAATAAAATCCACGAACCATTTTCTCGTGTTTGTTTGTTTGTTTCTTGTCACTTCAAAGTATCTTCAGCTCTTCATGGCTATTAAAATGCTGAAAAATATGAGGGTTTGTTTCATCCAGAACTGGGTTTGACCTTTTGGCAAGATCCTGCCCATCAGTTTGGTTTTCCTCATTTTGAAATGAAAATGGGTTCACCAGTGATTGGTTGTTTTTGTGGGATCCATGTGACTTCGGGAAAGCTTTGGCAGAGTCTGCTTGCTGAAAACCTCCAAAACTGGGCAGCTTGGACTGGCTGGAGTAACTGGAGTTGTTTCTCTGGCTGTTGGGTGGAGGTGCCTGCATTTCTGACACTGCCTGAACTCATCCCTCAGCCTTGGCACTGGAACCTCAGCTCCCTGCTGTCTGAAATGCATTTTTGTCACGTGGATCCCAAGGGATTTGGAACTGGAGCCTCAGACCCAGCACTGGGTGTGCTGCTGGAGCTACCTGGGCGTGCTGGTTAAAACGTGGGCTGGCCTTTGTTGGGTTTCTGCTGCGGGGCTGGAATGTGAGAGCCAGTTTGATTCCAGTCTCGCTGGTGCTGAGGGAAGCAGCTGCTCGGGATCTGTCAGCGTTGTCTGTGCTGCCATTGCCATGGCAACGGGAGCCGGCTCCACACAAACGGCACAAGGATGTCGGAACAGCATTTCAAAACAAACCCGAGCTGGTTTGTGCTCAGAGCCCGGGGGGCGCTGCGCAGCCCGGCTGCATCTCCTGCTTGGAGAGGTGCTCCAGACCCCTCACATCTTGGTGGCCTCCTGGACCCTCACCAGTAGCCCCCTTGTCTTTCCTGAGCTGTGGAGCCCAGGACTGAACACAATGCTCCAGGTGTGGCTGCACAAGGGTGAAGTAGAGTAATCACTTGGACAGAAAGAGGAAAAAAAGAGAAAACATGGAATGCAAGAAAAGAAAAGGCAGAGAAGGAGGAACATGGAGCAACCCACCTTCAGCACGGGAGCCCAACAGGGATGGTCCTGGTGATGGGCAGGGAAGGGAAAAGCAGCTGAAGCTGTGAGTACAGAATGGTCTCATGTCAACATTTCAGAAGCAGCTCTCTATTTAGGGGTCTCCCCAAGCTGTGCCATGTGATGTGCACTACTTTGGAGAATGTGGGGTTCAGCTGGAACCGGGACACAGCCTTGAGCTGGAGTTCCACTTTTTAAATGCAGAAACTGGGGGGATTTTTTTTTTGCCATTGACACTTGAAGTAATAATAAACTGTCTTAAAAACCCATAACAAAATTGTACAAGCATTGAACTTTATTTAAGAGGTTCACTGAGCTGGCAAGGAGCAAACCTGACCCATTACTTCAGCCCAGCACCAGAGCACAGGGATGAGGTTCAATCACCCTCACCAGGGCCATCAACCCGTGTCCACAGGAGCCCTTGGGAGAGCAGGGGGGACAATCCCCTTCATTCCCACCACTGCAGAGCAATGGAATCATCCCCATCAATTCTGAAAGTGAATACAGAATACAGAAAAGGGTCTGACTTACAGATCTGATGGAGGAAACCAAACCGTGGGATGTGCTGGGTGCCCAGGATCAGGGCAGCGAACTGGACATGAACTGGAGTGGCTAGAGCTGGGATGGACACTCTGGGACAGCACAGCAGCACCCACAGCGTGTTTACCTGGGCACAGGCTGGTCCTTCCATCGAGGGGCTGACACAGCTGCTGGACATGTGTCTCACTGACACACTTACCCTCTTTAACACAAAGATTTCCTACAAGCTGCAAATTATTTATATCACCTTTTAAATCGAGCTATTAGTCACACAGCTTTTTTGGGATGTATCGAATTATTCAAGTCCTACTACAGATTTACAGCTCTAGCTATGAGATGTGGTCACTGCACAGGAGTTCAGTGGGATGCAGTGCTGGGTTGCAGTGAGGAGGGAGCAGTTACTGAACCATTCAGTTCCCAGTCCCTCTGACATTCCATTCTCACTGCTGTACAAGCCCCAGCACTCGGGAGCAGCAGCTCTGCCACACAGGTGGGACTGTAGAAAAGGAGTTCTTGGCTGTACATGGCTTCCACAGTGGCTTTGTTACATCAGGTACAAACTGTACAAGTTCTCTGGGTTCCAAGTGTTCTAAGTGGCAGAAACAGTTCAGCCCGTGTTTATAGACTGGGTTTAAGTGTAGAGATTATTACAGGTAAGGACCAGGCTGAGTAACCAGCTCCATGTGACAGCAAAGATGTGGGTTTAATACAACCTGCAACAGTACAAATATGTACATATGTACAGAGGGGGTCCTCTCCTCCTGCTGCTGAGCACTCTCGGCACTTGATCCTCAGCTTCCCTGGAAGCAAGAAACACTGGAGTGAAACAGGTCCAGTTTTGCAGCACCTCAGGTTCCTGGGTTGAGCTCTCTGTGCCCGGGGCCTACAGGACCCCCTCGCTGAGGCGGGACTTGCTGTAGTCCCCCAGGTCGTTCTGCAGGTCTCGCTCCTCATCATCTGCAATTACAGATTGCAATTAGATCACAACTGAAATGCTCGCATCAGATCTGATTGGTATCACTGAAAAAATACTGAAGTGCAGTTCCCAGGACATGGTGCCAAAGGGCACAGCCCTGAGCTGGCCAGGGCTGGTGGCAGGATGTGTCCAGCCCAGCTGTGAGTGCTGCAGGGGATCTCTGGCTGCAGGGCAGCCCCGCCTCACAGACTGCCTGAGTGCAGACACTGCAGACTGTCACACCAGCTGCTGGCTTTGAGACTGCCTATCAAGCTCTCAAACTCCCCCACTAAAACCCAGCTCCTGCTCCAAGTCCCATGCCCAGAGCTGACACCATTCACAGAGGGTGGGAACCTCAGGGACTAGCACAGGGCCCTTCTTCACCAAGGGCCTCCTTCCCTCAAAAAGTGAAAAACCCTAAAACTTCCATTTGCTCCAACTAATAAGCTTTTCCTGCACCTCAGAGCTATTCCTTTCTACCAGGAAAGACTCTTGTTCACAGCAAAGGAAATCCAAGCTGAGCTCCCCCAGCTCTACCTGGAGCTCTCCACACCTTCACAGCCAGCACCCCGGGAGCCAGGCAGGGGCCTGAGGTGCTGCTCCAGCAGCAAAAGGCTGGAGTTCCCCTGCATGACACGGGTTTGTTCCACAAGGAAGTGCCACCACAGCACCTGGATGCCCTGGAGTTATCCCCCCCTCCACCATCCAGCCATCACTAACAGACATTTTAGAAGCTGCCACCTTCAAACATCCCCTTGCCCTTCAGCAGGTGCCTGAGGGCAGGAACCAGGCTGGGTGCTGCCCTGCCCCAAGGAACATCCCCCAAATTGGCAATTTCCCCTGGATAATTTCAATCTAAGCCTGCACATTCCTGGAGGCAAGAGAAACCACGTGGAATCCAGTGGCTTTGCAGCACATGCCACAGGCTTTGTTCAGCCTGATGCAGACCCGGGTGATGTTTACCTGACAGCTTTCAGACAGAAATTCTCGTTCCTTTTTTCCCCTCCCTAAACAAATATAACCACCCTCCCTTCAACCCCCCCCATTCTGCCCTCACCTGCCCTGCAGACAAATCAGTATAAAGCCTGAAGCAGCCACTTTTTCTGGAATACTGTCCCTGGAAGGTCCACCAGCCACACTCAAATCACAGCTCAGGCCAACATGACAAGTTAGTAAGGAACAACAGAACAAAGCTTGGGAAATGTGGCTTGAGAAAGTAACACATCTGTTCAGACCATCTGAAGGAAGAAGCTTCCAAAAGTCACCCTTTAACCCTAGCTCTTAATCCAGTCTGTCTATACAAAGAGGGGTTCATCAGCAGAAGGACCTTCCCCAAGTTCAAATTCCAAGCCACCAGAGCAGGGACCTTGCAGGGACCCCACCTGGAAGGGAAATGATTTGATGGGGTCACTGTCAGTCAGAGCTCTGTTTTTCCAAACACCCCTCACACTGCAAGTTACACAAGCCCAGTCTCTGGGGTTTAACATGTTCCCACCACCTAGAGCTGTATCATGCCCACCCTTTCCAAAGAGGCACTGGGGAATGCTGCCCTTGTCAGTGCAGCTGTTCATGGCAGCCCTGCTGCCTGAGCCACCAGCTCCCCCCTGGAGACCCCACAGGCAGGTACTCACACTGATGGAGCAGCACAGAGCTCTGTGGGATGGGGACAGGGACAGAGTGCTGCATCCCTGCCCCTACAGTCTGGCTCTGCTCCCAGGGAACAAGGGACAGGACAAGAGGAAACAGCCTCAGGCTGTGCCAGGGGAGGGTCAGGTTGAATATTGGGAACATTTCTTCACAGCAAGGGCTGTCCAGAGCACCTACACTGAGCGAGGCAGATGGCACCACCAGCACAGACTCAGCTGCACTCACAACCTCCACAGGTGAAGCCCAGGTCAGGAACTACTGCAGCGAGGAGCTGGGCAGGACGCACTGAGGGCTCAGGGACACACAGGAGACCCTGCACTGCCTGCCCACAGCAGCCCTACACCATCAGGGGCATGGCTCCCATGGCCCCAGCACCGACAGGAAGGAGCCACAGGAAGGGACACCTGCTACTGGACCAGGCTGCTCTGCATGCCCCTGTGCCTGTGAGCTGCCAGCCCAGGGACCACCTGCCAGAGGGGCAGGTGTGACACACAAACCCCTGCAAGTCCTGAGCACAAGGGGCACACAGCAGCCTGCAGCTGGGGCAGCAGGCACTGCAGTCCATTAATAAGTTAATCAATTGCCACAGGTCCTGGTCCATCCTATTCCTTCACTTGTGCATGAGTTTCAAACTGCCAGCCCAGCCCAGCCTGCTGACACTGCACTTAGCTGCATGCTCACACAGTCAGCTGCTTTCTACTGGCTTTGCCCATTCATTTTGCCTAGATGCCAGTTAAATACAGTGCCTGAAAAACCTCCAGCTAAAAAATAACTTATATAACTTATGAGGGTCAAAATCAGGGGGGCTGTAGGATTTTTGTCCCATTTCCTATTTTTCCCCCCTCTTTATTTCACATTTCCATTTAACTGGAAATA